AATTCCCTCATTTTATTCACAGACATTTCAAAGAGCATTCTGGAAACCAGTTTCATCTGAATGTTCTGAAAAATAGAAGAAATGTTGAAAATAATGATGCCTACCTGATGCAAGAAGGATTTATACCAAGTGAATAAATGCATGAATAAACATAAATAAACATCAGAATCTGCAGCTCCCAAAATATTATCAGAAACCACAGGTTAGTATTTGCTCATATCATTCTTCTGTCTAGAATTAGATATTGGTAAAAAATCCATCTATCACATACAATACAATTCACTACCAAATAACTTTAAGCTGATTAATAGTATTGAAAAATTCAAAAAGGAATTCAAGAAACATATACTCCTGTAATATTGACATCATATGTCATTTTAATGGTTTTCTTGTACAATTACTATAGTTTTCCATTGGGTACCTAACAGAGTCAATTCAGAATCATTTTCTGTTGAGCTTAAAAAAAAACAAATGATTTCTTCTTGAGTGTGAGTCTTATTTTACTGTTTTATTTATTTTGTCAAATATATCTATATATTCACCATGTTCCCTGCTATAAAAAAACATCATTTCTTGGGAAGAATGAATTCAATTGATTGATATTGAATATTGATAGAGATTTGAAATCATACACTACAAAATAGCAAAACTTGTCTATATTTGATTTCATTGACATGGAAATGTTCAACCAACCATGTAATACACAGAATCAAAAGTATTTTCATCATGTAATTGTAATTTTCCTATGATATATGAGATGACAATATGTATAGATGTGTGCATAAAGAATAGGGAATCAATATCAGGAAATAGCTGGAAAAAAATTTTTACAAATTGCACATTGAAAATAAAGAGTTCCTAGAAGAAATCATATAATTACAAGGTGATTTACAAGTACATATATATCAAACACATGAATATGATAAAGTTGTGACAAGTATTCCCAAAACATTAGATTTTGTATGTAGGAGACATTCCATCTTGAAAAAAAAATTTTATTGAATCAAGTATATAATGTACAACCAACATAGGTCGCATAGGCTATCAACCAAAGTCTATTTCTTGAAAATTGATAAATACAATAAGTTCTTTTCTGGTATAAGTTCATGTTGAGGATCATCATCAATATCCTTAATTTCCATGATTTCAGGTGGGATACAAGATTGGGAGGTGGAAGGTTCTTCAATGGGAATAGTAGGACTTTCATCCATACATACATCATCACAGAGGCTACAAATGGAAGGAAGTTAATTTCAATGTCAATTTATCATCATTTATTTGGTTGATTTATTGATATAGGTACAGGGTGTCCCTGAATTTTTTTTACAAAATGATACCATAGACAAGCATAGACTACTGAGATCAAAATGAGATAATTGAACTTATTTCACCTCTATATCAAATTGCTTTGTTTTTCATGCTTTGGTACCCTTTAAAGTTATTTAATAATTTCAGGTAAGTACCAATTTCCTTTTCAAAGAGAATCATAGATGATATCTGATATTTAGGACATTTTAGGAATTTGAAATACTGTGTAGAATTATGTATTACATATTTATTTCAACGCCCTGTAGGGGCTAACCAATACATTTTGGTATAGAGGTTGAAGTTTAGTCCAATTATCTTATTATGGTCTCAGTAGTCTGTGTGTGGTATCATTTTTCATTTGATTAGAGTAACCTAGGGTAGCAAATGTAATTAATGTATTTTCTCCACATTTTTGTAATATGTAAGTATTTTATATTTATATATCAAAATATCAACTAGATTTCCAATATATTTTACTGAAATATGTATGTGTATGCTGGTGTTATTGTATCATATTATTATTATTGAAATAAATATATTCTTTCAAATACTGTCTGTAGTTTAATCAAGGAGGTGCAGTACATTCATTATTCCAGATTTTTTTGGGTTGTCTCCTTGTTTCTATGGAATAAAAATATGTATATTATTTCAATATACCTGTAGTAAGGACAAATCAGATGATTTAAAAGAAAAATTTACTAGCTTGTTAGTGACAATTTGTATTGAAACAAGTTTGGAGATGAGAAATAAAGGTATATAGAAACAATTTCAAATTTTTACTTAGCTTTGGACGTTTCAGGAACGAATCTGCTCACGTTTTCAACATAAAAAATGGATATTTGAATACCAAATTCATATTTCTCTTGGCACCTTCCAGTTCTCGGCAATGAAATGAGTTACAGGATGTTATCATTAATAAATCTTGAATTTACCATTTTCATTGATAGAACATGGTATTCACTTCTGAAATCTGAAGATGAAAATGGTAAATTCAAGATTAATTAATGAAAACATCCTGTAACTCATGTCAAGTGCAATATGAATTTGATATTCAAATATCCATTTTTTTATGTTGAAAACAGGAGCAGATTCGTTTTCCAAACGTCCAAAGCTAAGTAAAAATTTGTTATTTTTTCTATATATACATACCTTTATTTCTCTTCAAACTTTTTTCAATACAAATTGTCACTGACAAGCTAGTGAATTTTTCTTTTAGGCTCTCTGATAGGAAAATTCTTTAAACACAGTGACATTTTGGGGCAAATCATCTGATTTGTCCTTACTACCCATATTATATTGAAATAATATTCATATTTTTATTTCATAGAAATGAGAGAAAATTCCAAAAAATCTGGAATAATGAATATTTTTTTTACTTTCAATAGTCATATTAAAATAAAGGAAAGTTTTAGGTCCATTGGAGACACTCCCTATGATCATCTCTAGGGTAGTTGTGTAATTTTATTTTTGAATAAAGGATAATAGGTACCTTGATCCTATTACAGTATCCTCAACTGTTAGTTCCATCAGACTTGTTGGGTCATTATTTTCTGTTATAGGTTCAGGTTGAGGAGATGGGATACCAGCATCAATTTGGGTATTTTCCATATTTTTTTCAGGTGAGGTACATATGATTATTGGGAGGTGGAAGGTTCTTGAATTGAAATATTAGGACTTTCATCCATACATAAATCATCATAGAGTCTAAAAAAGAAAGAAAATCAATTTCAATGTCAAGATCTACAAGTATTTTTTTATTATTCTATACATAATAAATAATTACAAAATTTTACAAGCTACAGCTAGGCTATGTAATAATTAGTTTAGAAAATCTAAAGCACTCTTTATTGAAAGAGTTTTAATATCATTCTTGAAAATAGTGCATTTTCTTAATTACTGTTCTTGCAAGCCTTCAAAAAGCAGTGTAATTTATAATGAAAATATCAATGGTTTTCTGATGGGAGACCACAGGACTCAGCAAGGCTAACAAACAAATACTTCTACTACAAATATGCTCACCAAATTTCAAGAAGATTCTCCAGATATATTATATAGTATAACATTTTTTTAACTTCAAACCATCTGTTGAAAACAAAGCATTTGAAATCTATATTTATATGTTTTTTTTTCTTATTTTAATGAGTAATATGACCTATTGAAGTTTGGTAGGTCATATTTATTTTGAGAATGAATATTTTTTTTATTTTAGGAATGTATAATAATGACCAAGACTATCAAATAATAAAATAGGTTTGGAATTTCAAATTAGAATGAAAACTAATTCATATATTTCTATGAATATTCTAATGGACTCCAAGAAGATGATATGGTGTCTTTTGCTTTGATTTTCTCCAATTAGAAACATTGTATTTATTGATTGATAAAAAGGAATACTCTGTTGTTCCTGTTTTTTTTGCAACCTAACCTACCACTTAAGTATATAATAAAAATAATATGAAAAATATTACAGTTTGGAGGGCAAAGCAGATTTTTTCAGCTTTTTCATGCCTTGACATTCTGGGGGGAAATGCCTGGAGCATATTCGACCACTAGGTGGTAAGTGTTTGCCAACTGCATCAGCCCACTTTTGTCGAACATTATCCTCCTATGAAAGTATAAAGTATAATGATGAAAAAATGAAATTCAAATAAGTTAGAACTAAATTCGATAAACATGCAAATATTCACCTTGGGTACCCTGTACAAATGCAGGGAATGGCCTGTACTTGTTTGAGATTGTCCACAAACTATGCAATAGTACATGATGTTCATAGAGAATTAAAACACAACAAAAACTGAATACAACACTGAACTATGAATAACGACAACGCGGAAAACAACAGCAAGAACTAGAAACAACAAAACTCGAAAATAATAGGGATTAACACTGATAGGAACACTAAGGACTAAAACACTGGAAACACTCAAAAGAAAGAACTGCAGACTGTAGAGAGAATACGACAGAATAAGAATAACTAGGAATCGGAATGAATCCACACTAATTTTGAATTCGAAATTCAAATCGATAAATTTGACAATCAACGACCTTGACAACAGGCACACAGAACTGCAGATAATTAACAAGGTTGGTAGAACGATGATTTATAGCCGCGACGCCCTCTACAGGTGATTTCTGAACTATGGCCAATAATCCATCGACACTTTTTGACGAAAAACAATTGACAAGTGGAAACACCATAGTTATAAACATCTCATTGTGAATGATTGTGAATAGCGTCTTCAGACAGGCTAATAGTTTTAGTCTCAGACGAATATTTATTCGTCTGAGGTTTTAGTCATCGAAATGGTGCTGGCATAAAAATAATAATAATTATTATTTCTATGGGTACTGGTCAATCTGACCAATGATGGCCTAATATCTAGACTGTTTGACCGGTTATATAACCTGTGAGACAGTCTAGATATTTAGCCGTCATTGGTGGGTGGTGAAATTTGAATATTATTTCAGGCGTCAATTATTTTAATTACAGACATTTTCTGATATGAAATATATGATATCATTGATTTATTTCTGTTAAGACAAGACAGACAAGACTTGTTTAACAAACAACGCAAATAAATGTGACATTCCTTCCCCCTCTGGCCCCACTAAAATAATGACAGCTTAATGAGTTCAGTGAATCCACACCTATAGTCAGCAGAATGTAGTTTGTCGCTCACTAGTATCTGTCACTTTCAGTCAGTACTGTCAGTTGAATTCGGAATCGGAATATAGCTTAAGTCATGTCAATTTGAATTCAAAAATTTTAGCGAGTTTTGTTTCGTTGGTGGCAGGTGGCAACACTGTAAAACTTCTTTTTTCGATGTTTAGCGAACGTGAAAGGTTCTGAAATAAACATAAAATAAATCCTAGGTAATTTTTGATAATATCAGGCCATCCTTAACCGAAAATCTGCATAGTTTCTTCGATATATTTTGTAGTTTCACTTTTTGTGTGTATGAATTTACGATATGGTTCCCGTGTTCAAATAATGAAAAAGTTATTGTGTCAAACCTTTGAGGCGCCCAAGTGATTAGACATTTGATTTTCTCTGCAAGTGCTGGTGGTATTCAAGAAGCAAGTGGAATATATTACTGAATCCCTATCTTTTCATCCGACCCTTATGTTATTTATTTTTGTAGTGTTTTGAATGTTTCTAAAAAAGTGATACCTAACCTAACATTTACTGCTGAGTGTTATGGGTGTTATCATCCATAAATCGTTTTATCAAAGATTTTCTGTTTCAGGTGATCAATCCATTTCACCAATGTACTAAGTAATATTTTCTTTTTTAGCCATGGTGCGAATGAATGTGTTGAGTGATGCTCTCAAATCCATAAACAATGCTGAAAAACGTGGGAAGAGACAAGTTCTAATTCGACCCTGTTCTAAAGTGGTAGTCAAGTTCTTAACTGTAATGATGAAGCATGGATATATTGGCGAATTTGAAATTGTTGATGACCATAGAAGTGGAAAGATTGTTGTAAATTTAACAGGAAGATTAAACAAATGTGGAGTTATTTCACCTAGATTTGATGTACCAATCACACACATAGAAAAATGGACCAATAATTTACTACCTTCCCGACAATTTGGGTAAGTTTATTATCACAAAACAATGATTATGATGATAATATTAACTTCATTTATATTACATAGGATGTTACATACATTTTGCAGTGCAATCCCTCAGGAATTATTTTGACAATCTTCTCAATCAAACAGTTTTCAGTTATTAGAAGCAAAAATTTACTTCTGGGGATGTGTTTCATGGGATTCGTGAAGTTCATGAGTGTACTGTGTACTACCTTGTCATGATCTAGTGTAGCACAATCAAGGCACAATATGGCATTCTGGTGCTGGATTTAGTTGTATGAGTTGGTTTCATTATGATTTCCTGAATTTTCTTTTATTTATGTTTATTTATTCAACTATTATTATTTTGTCATATACCAAATTCAAGTACCAACCATACTAACATAAAAATGGTTGATAAAAATGCTATAATAATGATTATAGTACACATATTGAGAGATGGAAACAAACATGATAATAATCCATTCAATGCTCATACTGACTAATTGTATTTGATACAAAATTGAGTACCAGCCATGTATGCTTGAAATAAGAAAGATAGAATGCGCTGTCTGAACTGCCATCTTGAAAAAACGTTTTCTTTTTCAGGAATTTTACAGTTTGATTAACCTTCTTTCTATACATCTCTCTTGACATCTCCTAATCCACTATTGTAAATTATGCAGGAGAAGCTTTTAATATAAACATCTCCTAATTTATGGTTGTAACTATAAAAGAACAGCATAATCTATCATACCTATATTCACACTAGAAAACTAGAAATGATTTAAATCATAACAATGCACATTCTACATTGTGAAAAGAAAAACCTAACCAGTAAAACTGAATTGACAGAAAATTATCAGAAAAAAACTTCCATATGGTCATGATTAGGGCTGGGAAAAAATATCGATATATCGAATAACGATATTTAAGTTTTTAAATATCGATAAATATCGATACATCGATAATTATCGATAAATATCGAAATATTTTTTTTCCACTTTTCGGTATTGAATAACTCAATGTCTCCCTCCCTCCCTCAATGTTTGACACTAAATGATCAGAAATAGGGCTGGGAAAAAATATCGATATATCGATAAATATATCGATATATCGAATAACGATATTTAAGTTTTTAAATATCGATATATCGATAACTATCGATAAATCGATAAATATCGATAAATATCGACATATCGATAAATATCGATAATTATCGATAAATTTCGATATATCGATAAATATCGATATATCGAACTTATCGATAAATTTCAACTTATCGATAACCGATAACTGAAATCCAATATCGCGCAGCCCTAGTCATGATGTATGTACGATAAAAAAAATATTTCAATCAATCAAACTTCTCCCAAAAGGCTTCTTCATGGGGCTTGAATTTGGTGAATCAATTGGATTAAAGATTAAAGTATAAAAAATGTTTTGCCCATGGTCATGGGATTTGTCAAGTCTATTAATTCATGTTGATTAACTTTCTACAGATTACTATGAATTAATATAATTGACAAAGCCTATGGCCATGGGCAAAACATTCTTTTTACTTTAATCCAATCCATTCACTCAAATCTAACCTGAATCCAAACCAAACCCCAACAAGAAGGCTTGAAAAATGTTAAGAGCAGGATTCAACAAAACCCCTCAACAAGAAAATTCATCAACTGAGAATAGAACAAAGCTTCATATTTTCATGAAGGACAATCTGTTACCCTGTGATATTTGAGAAGTTCTGCTCTCAATGCGGAATTTCTTGATGCTCACAGGAAGATAAAACCGGTACACCTGAGCTGAGATGATAACAACCACTATAATGAATTTTTCATTATCTGGTTATTAACATTTATTCTCGGCTCCGTTTATTCCGAACACTTATTTTAAATGTGACAATACTGGTTGAAAATGAGATGCAAGTCACCTTCAATTATTGAATCATACTTGTTGAACGTTTTTTCCCTAAAATTTTTCCGTTTAATGTTCTTCTTGTCTCAGCATTGTGAAATATCAATTTTGGCCACGTTTCTACCATGTCTTGCTAACTTTGTCTCCAAAACTGAACCCAAAAAAAAATTATTGATTACGCCACTGAATTCTGCGCAAAATTACCTGTTAGACGTACTTCTTAGCCCAACATTATTCCTTATAACTATGAAGATAACAGATAGAGAAGGCGTCCAGAAAGTATAAATTTTCAAAATCACCCTGTATGTCATAAACGGAAACAGTTAATGCAACCAATCAAAGCCAAGGTCAACGCTTCCCTATGGTTGCCAATATTGTCTTCTAATTTGGAATGGACTATAGCAGTCTCAACCAAATAAGGATGCACTTGTACACATACAGGTAGTTCTATCACAAAGATCAATACAATAATAATGATAATAATATTACTAATAATAATACTGGTAATCAGAAGATGAGGCTTCTATTGACAAAATGTAAATGAATAGAACTAAAGTAGAATTGAATCTTACTAGCCCTCTATAATGACATACATGAACAGTTTTTCATTGTTGAATTTTCTTCCAGGTATGTAGTATTGACAACAAGTGGAGGTATCATGGATCATGAAGAGGCTAGGCGAAAACATCTTGGAGGCAAAATCCTTGGATTTTTCTTCTAATGTAAAGTTATTTAAGAATAAACTTTATTAAAAACAATTGACCCATTTGTTCAAAAAATATAGAACTTATTGTTAGTGATTTCCACTTCTTCTTACAAAATAGGTACTTGACTTTATTGAAATGAAATTGATAACTGCCTATAATTGTTTCTTTAAAAAATCCTATAAAACGAAAATCTGGATTTTTGTATTGAAACAGTAATAAAAGCATACAGAATTATTTCACAAAAACAACTCTAGTTCATTATGAAAATTCAACACATATTGTGAAACTGTTGTAATTTAGCAAAATTTTAATTTTTAGTTCTGCAAGTAGCTCATTTTTTTCTCTTTCCATATTTGTTTCATCTTAATTAAACCACCTAAACCTTAAACATTTTAGTGTTGACATATTAGCAATAGAAAATAACACGTCGCCCCATCTGACTACAACTGGGTGGTTTGTTTTGTTTTGATGTATGTGACCAATAAGCCTACGCCACCCAGCAGAGTTTTTCAACCATCAAAAAAGCGGGTTCAAGTTATTGCCGTCAGGTCAGGTAGGGCGGTGTAATATTTTCTATCGCGAATCAATGATTTCACATGAAATAGAATGTGCGATCATGAATTTCAATGGTATATTGTTGATAGGGTGATAGGGACATGAAGTGGCAGTTTCTGTGGGATGTTTGTTATATTATGCCCAAGAACTTTCCTACCTACTTATTTGGAATAATAATTGTTATTATTATTATTATACATGATTGAACAGGGGAATTTACGTGATCAGATAATTATTTATCATGTCTGTCTGATACTGTCTGTAGGTTAATCGAGGAGGTGGTACATTGATTATTCCAAATTTTTTGGGATTTTCTCCTCGTTTCTATAAAATAAAAATATGAATATTATTTCAATATACCTGTAGTAAGAGTAAGGAGAAATCAGATGATTTGCCCCAAAATGTCACTGCGTTTAAAGAATTTTCCTATCAGAGGGCCTAAAAGAAAAATTCACTAGCTTGTCAGTGACAATTTGTATTGAAAAAATTTTGGAGAAGTGAAATAAAGGTAAATAGAAAAAACATCAAATTTTCACTTATCTTTGGACGTTTCGGGACCGGTTCTGCTCCCGTTTTCAACATGAAAAGAGATTATTTCAATAGCGAAGTCATATAATATGTCTTGAAGCTTTTCAGTTTTCAATGACAATTGGTGACGTTGGCAATCAAATGAGTTACAGGATGTGTTCATTAATTAATCTTGAATTTACCATTTTCATGTTCAGATTTTAGTAGTGAATACCATGTTTTGTCTATATCAACTGAACAAGAAGCAATGCTATTGTCTCCGTTCAGAAGAATGCAAGCAGATTCCTTGATTTTTCTCTTCTGGTTGTTATCTTCTTTTCCAATGATTTTAATATTATTCCACTCTGTCATGTTGTCCGTCTTCAGTAATAAGGATATGTTCAGCTAGTTTCGATTTATCGATGTTTCTTTTCTTTATATTAATTCTAACTCAAACAAAGCCGAAAAATGAAGAACAATCGTCAAAAAATTATATTTACAGTATACTTTCCACAAAGTTTTATATAGGTGAAACCAAGAGACCTCTTTCAGTAAGGACGAAAGGAACATACATACAACAAATTTGCTTGTAACAGCACAATACTTTAAGAATAGAATAATTTTAAGAAAAAATAACTCACTTGTGCTGCACTTTTCAAAGATTTAACAAAATCTATAATATATATAGACGAAAAATTCGGCGTACATAGGAAAAATTCATGATTGATAAAATTAACGCTAATGCTGCCATCTTTGACTGAAAACTTAAACTTCGACCGACTGTGCCTTTAATGATACAGGACACTGCCAGGAAAGGAAGATCACTATGTGGTCATTGTAAACTATTCTTCGATGTGGTATCAATCTAAAATGTTGGAAATCCTCCAATATAGAAAAAAAGATGCAAATCGATTGAATAATAGGAAAAAAGTAGCCAAAACTAGGGCTCGAAAATATAGCAACTAAATAACGGCTCATGTACTCATTATTCTCTGTAATTATATTTACAGTGACTGCATTTATATTAATTTATATTTAGCAAGCATTGCCATCTACTGACTCAAAGATCATACACAGCTTACTGTCCTCACTCATTCATTATAGAGAGCATTCAGCCATTTTAATTTCTTTCGATGATTTTCTGTGAGCTTATTGAATTACGATTTCAGAATTTCTAAACAAACCGGAATTCTGATGAAAACTAGGAGAATATCAATTAAAAAATTAGTAGATCCCGAAAAAAATTGCAAAAAGATCCAGGTCTAGCTATTTTGGTCGGGCTGTGACAGGGTTCCCACTCCCAGACGCGATCCCACTACTGCTCGACGCGGAGACTTTTGGCTGCTGAGTTTCCCCCCTGGCCCGGTTCGCCTCTCCTTAGACGACCTGGCCGCCCCGGACTCCTCCAGGGCAGCCATATCGACGCCAAGCTTAGTGTGGACACCCGGTCGACGTGAGAAAACCTGCCCCAGGACTCCCGACCTCAAACCATCCGCTGAATCTGACCTCCAAGTAGCTGGATTACAGGAGACGCCACGCTCCCAGTCGGAAAAGATAACTTCAAAAGTGGAATTTCTGCTACATTTTGATTATAATAAATGTTAATACAGGGTGTTCTGGTTCTGAAAATAATTTGCTATCAAGAAACGGAGTGTTGAAGTTTTGTTATACAGCAGTTTTTTTTCAACTTTTATGTTTTTTTTCAGTGGGCTAAAAGAACATGTTTTTATTGGTAGGTATAATAGGTACATCTTTATTTTGTTTTGAAGACAAAAAAAGATGTTTCTCACTTCTCTAAATCTTCATCTTTTTTTCTCCGAATCAAAGCGACACTAGCGACAGCAGTTGTCAGAATAAAGTTGTGAATTATAATAGGTACAGTGTTTTTCTAATTATTGATCTTCAATTTACCATATTCCTACCCATATTTTAGGCAGTGGCGCAGCCAGAATTTTGTATCAGGGGGGGTTTTGAAAAAATCAGGGAGAGTATTACAAAAAAACGAGAATATATTACAGAACACAAAACGTAACGTACATATGAGGTACATTTGAAACAATATAATTAAAAAAAACTCAGATAGTGAATAGGCATAGTCAAACAGCGTACAGATATAATAATAATAATAATAATAATAAATACGTTTATTATATACCCAAAATTAAATATACAAATGAATTCGATACGAACGGTATACATTTTGAGAGGGTAGATAAAAGGCTGTATGGTTCAGATATCAGAAGTTGAACTTCTGAGCCTGTTCTTCCACCAAAGCCATTTTAAGTTTTTTTCAATCGTTGAATGGTTACCAATAAGCTACAATAAATATATCTAACTCTATAATTGAAGAAAAGTGAGGAGATGTCAAGAGAGAGAAAGAATACTTTGAAAATATATAAATGACAATAACAACATAGATCATTAGAAAACATAGTAACATTATGAATGCAATCTGAATGTACTTATCAATTATATTGAAATTTGAAGACGGCGAGATTTGAGAGCCAAGACATCAAGAACTTCGTCTTCCGTAATAGGAATATCTGGATGAATATACATCAAGGCTAGGCCGTTTAATCTGTCGTCTCCAGTTGAATTCCGCAAATAATTTTTAGAAATTTCAGGGACGAAAACGATCTTTCACAAGAGCACGTGGTGACTGGTAAGGTTGCCATTATGATTAGAAGTCTATAAATTGTGGGAAACGAATTTTTATTGCATACTTCCATAGCCTCAATCGCACTTCGTGGCTTTTCTGTTTTATCTTTCATAAACTGAACCCAAAGTGTAACTTCTCCCAACGCACCAGAATCGTCCAGTCCATAAAATTCCAGAAGCTGTTGTGTAGAATTGAAAATTTCGCTGATTTCTAAACTATTATCATGACATTAAAGTCTTTGAAAAGGTTCGAGAGTATTTCTATGATTTATACATTTTTCATTTATTGCCTGTATTGTTTGGTCGAGAAATGGAACATAAATAGCCCTTCGATTATATTCTTCCGGCGATGATCCAGGAACATTATTTCTGTTGGTCTGCCGATTAGTGGTTCACAGTTGCCAAGATTATTTTTTTTACCTAGATTGAATAATTATTGATCAACCTTTTCTAGTTTGCGTCTGGGTCTGGGGGGGGTTTTAACCCCTAAAACCCCCCCCTCGCTGCGCCACTGATTTTAGGAGTAGGTATAAGTATAAATACAGATATATAGGTGATAAAATAAATCAATTCACCAAGTATTAGGTAGTCATATACATATTATTTAACTAACTGTCCCACATTTATGAAGTGAGACAAGCATACATTTCTATCATTTTCGAATCTTATCATAACTTGGATTGAATCAATATCAATTAATTTTCAATTTCTTTCAAGATTCTATAATATCTCATTTCTTTGAGTACAACGTCAGTAACTAAGTACCTACTTTTTTGTAATCCCACCTTTTCGACATATACAGGGTGTTAACAAATAAGTGTCTCAACGAGTCAACGGAAAACTGTAGATTTCCTCATGAAAAAAGAAACATTTTTGCCTTTCGAGATTTTTCTCCGGGCTTCCATTTTCAAGATACAGGGCGTCAAAAAAATACAAAAAAAATTGTTTTTTGCTACTATATCAGGAACCGTTTGAGTTACGGCGTCAAGCCTTCGTACACACACTTTATCATCAATAATACTCAATGAGTATCTTGATCAATGTCCTTGGACATGTCAGTGGAGGAGAATTCAGCGCCTCGTAGGGGTTTAACCCTCCAAACATTTATGGAGAAATTGTAATTTTCAAAGTAGATTCTGAAGCGCCAATATTTTTCACACATAAAACGTCCTCTTGTCTCAATACTCTAAATTGAACAGTTTCCACGGAAAATGGCTCTTTATGAAGAAGAACATACAAAATCATGATGGTATCTCTCTAACCGTTACCACCGATTCTAACACCACAAAACTGTCTAATAATATGTTCAATCAAATGTCAGGTTCTTGAGTATGCTGGTCTAGATGCTGGTTCTCAAGTTTCTAAGTTTATTGAGTGTTGTAAAGTGTGTTCAATTAAACTGAACATTTTTGATTTTTTGACGGCCTGTATCT